ATTGCTATTCCTCTTACCACTAGACAGACCAATATTTCTGACAATTGTTTCTTACTTTCAGTTAAGGCTAAAAGCAGCCAGAATATGTCTTTTCCCCTCACATTAACATTTAATAGTAGGTTAAATAACAAAAAAAAAAAATGATGAATAAGATAGTAATAGTAAGACCATAAGAGTAACCCTAATGGTCATACCATCTACTACAAAAACAAATGGACAACATGTATGGATGGTTGGCAGATTGACAAAGGATTTGCAACCATATTAATGACCAATAACAAGAACCATATGCATTTAACATGCTAAGGAAATATTAAATCTTCAGTTTCAAAGGTAAATAACTACCATTAAGGAAGAGCTTGATGGCACAACTCTTTAACTGCATTTTAAACTGCTGAAATCTGTAGGCCTGTTACTAACAGAAGCAGATGAACCTCCAAAAGTTTCCATATTGTGTGAATCCAACACTATCTCCTCATCTTCTTCACATCAACGATCATCAACCCTTCCACCCTGTACACTGAAGAGAGTCTGGCCTCTTCATCAATATCAAAGTTATTGTGAAGATGAAGGCCTCTTTCCTGGCGACAAATACAATAAGCAAATGCTAGGAATTAGGTGGACAAAACCAACCAAGAAAAGTTCATAGAGATTGAAGGTGATGTTAGCAAAAACTTACCCTGCTAAATGCAGGTCCTTGGTATATTCACCCTCAATCTCTCTGGCTATTCTCATTGCTTCCCTTTCCAACCCTCTCATATGAGGACCTTTTTGAAGCTTCGTTGTATATGGTAGTTCAACATTGAAGGTACGTTTACTCAAAAAGAAGTTCATTTCTCTCAAACTGATTCCAGTTCATAACAGCAAAATGACATGATTCAAACCAATATGATATGTATACAACAAGAACTTTGGGAAAAAACTCAATGGCCCATAAAGCAAAACTAGAGAAAGTAAAAACTAAAATAAGACATGTCACCAAATATATATACTAAACAATCATGGGAAGGACATCCAACCTTGCCACCAGCTGGTACACCAATACCAAGTAAATATCAGATGGGGAGTAGTAAAGAAAATGACAAAGAAAAAGGTTACAGACATCTCACCTGCATTTGGTATTCTTCCAGGGTTGAATTTGCTGGACTGCAACTTATTTTCCAGCCTAGTCTTGAAATTTCTATCACCTCCTCTTCTACGACCAAATCCATTAGCATATGACTTGGGTAGTAATACTTGCTGCAAATTCATTTTCTCTGTGGACACAACCATAAATGAACAAAGAGCTCAGAATCAGGGTTTTCTTTTTTTCTGTTTTTTTGGCCAAAAGCTAGGAATCAGTTTTATTGACAAAATTACACATAAAAAGTGTATCTGGTACAAAAATTCAGAACATTCAACAGACTTGGATGTAAAGTTAAATTTAGAAACTGAACCTATATGAAAAAGTTAGTTGGCACTTCTTCATCTAGAGGTTGGATTTGCATTACCAAACATGTTGCAGTACCAAGTCTCCCAAATGACTACACGTTTGGCACCATAGTTGCATAGATAGATTACATCCATAATTGGTAAATTATGGCCTAAACTGTACACTAAACTAAACAGCTTATAGCAATATATCCATTTGATTCAATATATATATGATATACTTACTAGGCCCATAAAGCAGTTATTGTTCCAGAACAACACAGTGACGAAATTGTTACGGGGGGATCTATAACACAATAGAATCCCTGATTTCACCCTCAATTGTCTGGATATTATTTGTCTTTTCTCCATTAACAATAATGCAAATATGCATAGCTTGATTCATTTTGTTGCAGCGCACACTTTATCTCCTATAAGAAACAGATTGATAGAACAAAAAAGAACCAAAACAATTCTACTGAATTAATAGCTACAAATTAAAAAAAAAAATGCTGCTTGTACATCCAGAGAGGAAAGGACATGCAAAATGTTTTCCCTATCTGTTACAGAGGAAATATGATGAGGAAACTTGACTTCTTAATGGAAAACATAGTAAGATGGTTAATTTCAAAGAAATTGTTTTCCACCAATCAAATTATACCATTCATCCTCTTCTCTGCCTCTCTCCCTTCTAGTTATCCCTCACCATACTCAACCACCCATCAAAAGTATAAAATCCAGCACAGTAGCAATGTGGTGCATAATCCAAATGTCGACAAGATACAGAATGGAATCTAGCCCTCTAAAAAGGAATTGTATAAATATTTATCAAACTAGTTAACTAGATGAGCCCAAAACCAAGAATGATCCCCCACATTACAATTGCAAACCATCATCCTGAGTTTTATTTGCATGTGCCATCAATCCAAACATCCAATTCACTAACATACACTTTTCTAACTGCATTTCTGGTCAGATAATAATGCATCTACACAGAAATAGTATTGAAATAATATAAAACAAAAAGAATCAACTTTAATAAATGGACACAAATCAATTTCCTGAATGTTTGTATTCTTCAATAAAACCAACCCCACTTTCATAGATTACAGGTTAAACGCCAACAATGAGCTATACATACAACTAAAACAAATGCCAAATTCAGTAAACATAAATATGTCTCACCATACATTATTTTCTCCCCATGAGGCCATTCTATGGATGAGAAGATAGGAGCTATGTTGATGATAAAAGTAGTAGATTTATCAGAATGACTACAGTAGGAGGACCAAAAAGGAAGCTAATCCACTATCATCATTCAAGGTAAAATGGCAATTGAAACAAAGGTAAGTTAGCAAATGCAGCAAGTGTCATGAGTCATTTCGAAGCCCAAATGGGAGAGACATAGAAATTAAAAAGACTAGCTTATATAGAAACTAACTTAATTCAACATGAGAGACTCTTATATGTGAATCATCTACCAAAAGAAAAGATCTTTAAAAAAAAAGGTGTATTGATTCATTCCTATAACAACAACCCAGAAGTTAAATCACTCCTGGAATCTCCCACAAAAGAGAAGGGAGTGTGAACCGAAAATTTGTACCCAAATACCCAAACATGCAAATTTTCACCAAGAATACAAAAGAAGAAGAAGAAGAAGAAGAAGAATAACAGCCACCAGCATAAAGATCGAATTTATTTTCCCCATCTTCAAACCCCTTTCAACCTCTAAAACCAAAAATCAAATTCCAGCAAACTAAATCCATAAAATCATCCACATGAAAAGTATTTCCACAACATGCATACAGTACAACAGTATTATACTAGGGAATCATATCCAGATGAGGAACAGAAAAGAGAGAAACCTTCAAAAATTGGGAACGTGCAATAGAAAATAACAAATGGGTATTCTCATTAGTCCTCACCCTCAGCTTGGATTTGTGCATGCCCCCATCATTCTCCACATCACCACCTACCCAGAAAAACGGTCTTTTGCTTTCAAAGCTTGCTGCTTTTATTCTGGGTTTCCGTCAGAAGCTCTTGATACAGAAGCTGCAACTGCAGGAAGTTATAATTCCTATCTCCAACCCACCCCACCACAAGGCCACAACCATTACCACATGGTCACACCACCACCTTCCGCCTTCAATTATTATTTGTTTTTTTAGGAATCAAAACCCAAAATCCCAACTCTGACGTTTGGATAAGCCAAGAAATAGAAACCAAGAAGAAGACTACAGTGAGACAATTACTTGTGAGAAAGCCAGCAATCGAAACCATCCTTCAATCAAGCACTCAAGATTCAAGGGTCCATTCCACCTCCCAAGAGACTAAGATGCACTCGAAGCTGCAATAGAGAGGGATTCGCCTGCAACTTCCAGGAGAAAGCTCTTCCCATCATCAGGCCACGAGGACAAACAGATTTACCATAAGCAAAGAGATATAGGGTTTGGATTCGGTTGAGAGGCAAACAAAATAGCTTGCAGCGTGTATTTAGGGATCGGGCTTCCTTTGAAGAAAACAGTGAGTATTTTAAAAAAGTGTTCTACAGTACGATACCCTTAAAAAAAAAGGAAAAGGATAAAAAACTTAATTTAAAATGCAGAAAGCTACAAAGCCTCAGCACAGAGGTAAAGGGAAGGGCAGAAAGCCGGAAAAGTTAGCAAACTGCCGGAATTTCAACTTCTCCGGCGACGCTTGATTCACTTAATTAATTAAACTGTTTATTAACACGATCATATCAAAGTAGAAGGTCTTTCTGGTAAACAGCTGGCGGCCAAATTGCGGTCCACAACAAGATTAACAATACATTTATAATTAATCAAAAGTAAGACATGCTATACATAAATCAAAATTCAAGTTTTCTATTTCTGACACACATACATTAAAAGCAACCATCCCCAATAAAGAAACTCCCCAGCGCGCGCGACAGGTACAATTCACCATAGAAAAGCAATTCTATGGGCTTTATTAAAATAAAAGGGAAAATCTTTGTAACATAGGAACCACTATATATCACGAAAACGATTCTGCCGCGTGCCTCGAGAGGACATGGACCAAACTTCCCAAAACCTGAACACGGTGACAAGCGAAGAAATTGGAATCAAGACGAAAACAGACACAGAATAAAACAATAATGACAAAGAAACATGAAACTTATCGATCAAAGCTCCGTCTCCATGGGCGGTTGGTTCAGATCGAATGAGGGCCGCAGGGCTGGCCTATTGGAACTCTCCTCCATCATTTGAACTGCACAATCAGCAAGAACTTGTAGTAGCTCCGTATCCATGGGCGGTTGGTTCAGATCGAATGAGGGCCGCAGGGCTGGCCTATTGGAAGTCTCCTCCATCATTTTAACTGCACAATCAGCAAGAACTTGTAGTCTTGATGTATCCGCATGGCGCTTTGCGGTTGGCGATTTTTCAACTTGAATTGAGTAAGTCCATGCCCTTCCATCCACGAGAAAAATACTCACTTTATCGCCTTTTATCAGGCCTAGTTCCTTAACAATTGTCTTCCACCCTTTCTGCAGCAAAACCAGTCGAGGACCGGCCTGGCGTGAGACGGTGACTACAGACAGAATCTCCTCGCTACCGTCTTTCAGAAGCGTCAAATCTGCCCTTGCCGGTCCATTCTTTGATAATTCTGGAGGTAATAGATGCATCTTATGCTGCAACACATCTTGTGGTAAGGTAAGTTTCTCGAGCGATGACTCTGACAGAGTTTGGGAAGAAACCTCAACCTTTTCTTCTGCCATTGGATCTTAAAAAATCGTTTCTCTGTTATTTTTGGTTTCTCTTGTGAAGCCGCAGGGTATGCCTCTGTATTGGCTTCTCTTTTGGCATGGGAATATGCGGTCTTTGTTACTACTAATTTACTGTTGCTGGAGCCCAACCACTCGTCAAGTACCCCACCCACCCCACCCCATCTGCTGTCAATATCGCATCGGCGTACAGACATTAGATGGTGCTGACTAATTTACTAATTTACTAATTTTCATATATATTTTTTTTAATTTCAAAGACATTAGATGATGCTGACTCTGCAAAACGTGAAAGAAAAAGAAGTTAGCTTTATAGTGAAAATGGAATCTAAATATCTATTGTGACTTTAGCTCAGCGTATTACGCCAAATTGTCAGTCCAAAATTACAATTATTTTGGTAAATAATATATTATGACATTGATAATTAATGTAAAATTTTAACAAGTAAGTTGAAATATAAGATTTATGTTTAATTTAAAATTAATTGATAATAAAAATAGTAATCAAGCTCAATTTATATTTAAATCACTTGTATTTCTATAGTTACATACTTTTTTAACGTGAGATTATAACCTATAATTTAT